TCTGAAGAGTGACTTCTGATTGTCTCTTACCTCTAGGCCTGAGTCAAATGGTTTTGTTCTTTTGTATGTCTCATAACTTTTTCTTTGAAAAACAAAAACAACAGCAAAAAACCCTGGGTATTTTGAGTAATTTAATTTGGCAACTCTTAATCAGATTCTTCAATGAGTTTGCTGTCGCTGTTACTGTTGTTTGCTTAGTAACGCTCTGAACTTGCTTTATACCATCTGTATTCTGTTGTATGTAGTCACAGAAGTTTCTGCTCACTTGGCTTAATTGCCAGCTAATGACTGAACAGAGGTTAAATGCCTGAAACCAGTTAGACCCAAACTCTGACAATGGGCTCTGTGAATGCACTGGTCTTTAAGGCTGCTGTATTATTTCCTTTCTTCCTTGAGCTTTGAGGTTTGCCATAGGGCAGGGCTTGTAGTCTTCCTCAGATTTTTCCTCTGAAGACTCACAGCTATGGCTCCATAAAGTCGGACTATACCTGCAGCCTCCTAGATTACCAGTGATATGTGTTTCTTTTCAAAGCCTCCAAGGATATCTTATTCCTTAGTTTCTTCTTTTAATTTTTTTATGCTAGCCTGTGGTTTGCTGTGATGTTAAATAATTGCTTTAACAATGTAAATAGTAATAATAAAAGTACCCCCCCCCCCACAAAACAAAAAATAAAAACAAAAGACAATGTCTCAGGATACACAGTTCTCACCTAAAAAGGACTAAGAGTTTGTTCATCTTAAAGCTAAATATGAGGAACCATGACATGTGAACATGGGTTTAAGTTATTCTAAATTCTATGCTCCAACACAGCATTAATATCATAAATTTTTAACAGTAACATAACAAAGATAGTCATAAATAAAACCCTCATTTTAAAATTCATTCTTTAAAATAATACATTGGTGTGAGCATCAAGACGGGAGGCTTTTTTCAGCTTGGGGAAACCTTGGCTGCAAGCCTCAAATGCCATTAAAGACCTCTCAGTTTTTGGGTTGGTGGAAAATAGTGGTCTTTTTAGTTGCTATATCTTTAAATGCTTCATGCAGTTGTCGCAGGATGTTAGACCAGACACAGAGGTGATCAGGGAATGGCTAGGAAGGGGCTAAGTGGTCCACGAATCTGAGTCTGGATCTGAGACAGCATTTCTCTACAGTCATGGAAGGTCTCTCAGCCCTCAGCTTCTGGGTTCAGCTTCTTCCTGGGAACCCCAGTTTACAGTCTCTAACGTGTTTTTGTCAAATGCTCTGTGCAGGAGCTTCATACTGGGTAAGCTTCGAGTCTGGTCAAGTAAATGTCTTGCCAGTGGGTCTTTAGACAATCACTAAACAGGTTAAAAGATGATGGTTTTCTGGGAATGAGTCAGAAGGTGCCCACTCTGTGCCCTGTGGTGGCTGCCAGGCTATTGGTTTCACAGCTCTGTGGGATGTTGGGTTTCATTTTCAAGTTTACTTACAGAGCTGGAGATAGGAGTAGGCCAAATGAAATGACCGTGAGGCCTGCCTATTCTTACGGAGATTCAGGCCGGTTTGTTAAAGAAATATTTTCTCAACCTGCAGTAAAACTTTCTCCAGTTTCTAGAATTCTATAAAAACATGACACCTAAACTCTAGCAAGCATTTTGGTTGCCTTTATGAAGAAGAGATATTTTAGAAAGGCATTTCTTTACTGATTTCACTCTTCCTTTTGATCACACCTTGAGTTATAGATTTTTCTAATGCTGTCATTAATTAAGTAGATGATAATGTACCATTTTCAAGAGCATATATTATGCAGCTATAATAACAACCAGTTTTGTCTTATTTCCTTAGGTATTGTCATAAGTAAATCCTTTAGTAGAGAGTGAGATAAGCTACCTTATTGGTTTTTGTTTTCCACCTGTGCTCACATGCACCTACACACCCATGCACCCATGCAACCATGCAGCAGTGCACTCATTCACATATGCACCCCACTCACCCATGCACTCATGCATCCATGTACACATGTATCCTTATACCCATGCATCCATGCACCCCCATCCAGCCCATCAATCATTCATCAAGTCAAGATATTTTTGTCATCTGCTACATCCAGATTTATCTAATAAAATCAAACAGATTGGTAGTTAAAATATCTGAAAGTAAGGGCTTATGATTTATCTTGAATAAGGAATGGAATACCTTGAGCTTTTTAGCTTACGTAACTTAGCAGAATCTAATGTCACCTTGAGAATAAAAGTATTAAGAGTTAAAGATTTAATAGAGTATGTAAAGTTGAAACAGAAAATGTTTTGAAATAGCATGTCCGGAGAGAAGATTTGAAAGTGATCAAATACAGGCCCTTCAATTTATGAACTCAAAATGAAACCAGTCTGTCGATGAATAAAATATTTTTTTCTGGGAATAAAAAAGATATTACATATGAGATTCCAAGGAAATGAGATTCTAGACTGAGCTCTTTCCAAAGTCTAGACAATTTATGTTTATTGTATTATCCCACCTCCATGCTTTGTTTATATAGCAAAGTAAGAAAAACAAAAAATTATAAAATAATCCCTTCCAAACTCCAAAAGGATAGCAATAATGTTAACAGTATATTTGTCTTTATTAATTTTAGAGTCAACATACAAAAAAATAGGTGTCATTACGACGTTTTTATACGCCTATAATACCTTGTTCTTATTCAGTCCCCTCCCCCATGGTCTACCCCTATTGTTCTGTACCCAATTGCTGATCCTCTTCTTTCCCCGAGGTAGTAACCTTCTTCTGCTTTCATGTCACAGGCATTCAACTGCTTCTTTTCCTTCTCTCCCTCCTTCCTTTAAGATCCTTTCTTCCCATCTCATGAGCCCCATTCTTAGTTTATCATCCATACATTCAAATTCAAAGATTTAGACAAAGACACACAGACACACACACACACACACACACACACGAGAGAAAATGTATTTGTCTGAGTCTGGCTTATTTTCCTTAACATAATATTCATGTCTGATTTAATTTTTCCTAAAAGCTGAAAATTATTCACCATGTATATATATTATACTTATTTATCTACTCATCTTTAGGTAGGTCTCGAGGCTGACTCTTTTTTTTTTTTTTTGCTATTGTGAACACCGCAGCAACAAGTATGGATGTGTGTACATCTATGTGTTATGGTAGCAAGGAGCTTTGAATATATACCCAGGAATGCTATAGCTGGGTCATGTGGTCGTTCTATTTTTCTTTTTTCAAGGAACCTCCACATAGAATTCTATAATGGCCAAATCATATGAACATATTTTCACCAGTAATATATAAGATTCATCTTTCCTCTCATCCTTGCCAGAAATGGTTATCATTTGTTTTCTTGGTCTAAGCCATTCTGCCTGGTAAAATGGAAGGTCACCGCAGTTTTCACTTAATTTGCTGATGGCGGAGGAAGGATGCTAAACACATTTTGACATATTAGTGGACTCTTGTATATTCTCTTTGGAGAACTGTCCATCCAGCTCATTAGGTCTTTTGCTGATTGGATAATTCAGGGCCGTTTTAGAGTTTAATCTTGTGGTGCTCCAATGTTCAATGCATATATGTTTATAGCTACTGTATCTTTTTGATGATTTTTTTCCACTTATTAATATGTTGCGACAGTCTTTATCTCTGCAGACTTATTTTGGATCTAAGTTTGCTTTATCAGATAGCAGAGTAGTTATTCCAGTTTGCTTCTCACTTCCATTTCCTTGACAGACTGACATTTATCATCTGATCCTTTGTCTATGGACATTTTATACCAGTGAGGTGTGCTTTTCCTTCTTCTTTTTCTTTTTTCTGTTTGTTTGTTTTTCAAGGCAGGATTTCACTGTAGCTTTGGAGCCTGTCCTGGAACAATCTCCTGTAAACCAGGCTGGCCTCGAACTCACAGAGATCTGCCTGCCTTTGCTTCCTGAGTGCTGGGATTAAAGGTGTGAACCACCACTGCCTGGTTGAGGTGTGTTTCTTGGAGACTTCAAATATCTAGATTTTGTAATTTAGCGCAATCAGTTGCTGCATCTAAAGAGATGCAGATGATTCATGAGTTCAGGCCACTTACATTTTAGGTTATTGTTGAGAGAGATGTACAAATTCTTGAGGTTTTGAGGATTTTTTTTCTGGTTGTTTGGATTATTGCTTGATCTTTACTTTCTCCTCAATTCATATAAGGGGTTTACTGGTTTGTTGCATTATAAACATGACAGATTTCTTCCAGTTCTCAATTGTTCATTTATTTCTCTCACAAAATGTGTTCCTTCTTGTGCTGTAGTAATTGAAACGCCTTTTCCCTCCCCTACATTTTATTCCTGAGAGAATCTTCTGCAGGACTGGCTAGGCTGGAATTCATGGACTCCCTTAGTTTGTGCTTAATTCGAAATAAGTTTACTTTCTGTCAATTTAAATAAGATTTATTTTTATTATTTTTAAATTGTATGCGTGTGTGTGCATGTGTGAGTGTGTGTGTGTGTGTGTGTGTGTGTGTGTGTGTGTGTTCAGGTGCCTTCAGGAGACAGCAGTGATGCATCCTCTCAGAGACTGAACTATAGGCAGCTGTGAGCTGCCTGATGCGGATGCTGGGGATCAAACTCTGGTACTCTGCATGAACACTGTGTGCTTTTACTTGTTAGTTCATCTCTCCAATCCTTCTCTACAAAGTTTAAAAGATAGATTTGGTTAACATAGCAATGCCAGTTGTCTAGTGTTTACTTGAAGGATTTGCTATATACCTTACATGGCTTCCTGGTGTTTAGGGTTGCTGACAAGAAATCTTATACTAATTTTATGTGCCTATATTTTTAACTACATAGGTGTCTTACCTCATATCTTTTAATAGAGCTTATTTTCTTTTTGTTCTTGTTATTTTGATTATGTAGCATGCCATACAGAGGTTCTCTTGTCATACTTTTGGGTCCTAAATGCCTCTGGGTTTGGATGCCCATTTCTTTCTCTATCATTGACTTTTTTGCTATAATTTTGTTGAATGAACTTTTTATACATTCAGTTCATGTAATTATATGATCTGATTCTGGGATTTATGAATCGTCCTTCACAGTGGCCATGCTAGACTTCTGTGTGTTTTTCCAGTTTTAGTAGATATGCTGCCAAAGTGAACACAATAGCACCGCCTCTTGTACCAAAAGAAAGCATAGGTAATTAAAATGTGGACACTTTCACAATCCTCTTTTCATCTAACTAAAACAAATTACTTTGTCCTTGCATATGGGTTTATCTGTGTTCTTTGGGTAAGGGCAACTTGATTATTTCTTTTGAATGTTGTATTTTCCTTTCTGTAACATGTTTTCATTTGAAATTATAAATATTTACATTTATGGATAATCTGAATATTCTGGATAGATTACTCCATAATATCTTAACTTAAAAAAAACATCATAGTCTACCTTTGAAATATCTATAGTTTTCGTATTCATGAAAATGAATAAATAAATAATACTTATAAAACTCAGTGATCATTCTTCAGGCTTTCATTTCTGCTTTTATCTTTTTAAAGCATGATTTCACTTTTGTTTAATGTATTGGAAAAAATATTCCCAAGGTTACTTGATTAGAATATCCTTTCATTACATATATTATTTGACATAGGCAGATGCTTTTTTCAGTGTTGAATTGGAGACATAGAGATGTGACAATTTGGTTTAAATGGCATAAACATGCTTGTGGTCCCATATTCTATATAGTGCTTAAAGTAGAGAGTCAAACATTTTTTATCACCTATGTGTGGGAGTATATTGTGTCTTGCTTTGTTACTAGGTTAATGGGAGTCCGACCCAGGGCCTTATCTATGTTAGGGCATGACTCCACCACTGGTCAACATCTCCAGCCCCTTTATGTTTTATTTTAAAATGAGGCTTCCCTCGAGCTTACACCTTTTCTGTCTGATCTTCCTGAATAGCCATGACTCTTGGCAAGGTGGGAAAAGTGTGGATTTACATAACATCAAGGACTGAAGTGTGACAGAGCCCCCACTGGAAGTTTGAGAGTAGAGGAATCAGGCTTCCCTAGTGTGTGCACAGAGAATTTGGGTCACATTCTCTCCCAAGTGGAGAACCACAGCATTCCCAGCAGGGCTTGCACCCATCATTTGCAAGGAAACACGGTTCTCAAAGCTCTGTGGAAATGGATTTGGTCAGGCAAGACCTGTCTCTTCACAAGAAAACTTTTCTAATTTCATACTGGAGATTGGGGGAACTAGCCACAGGGTCACTTTGCAAAAACTTTCCATCCGGACTCCAAAATTAAAGTGATTCTGATGAGAATCTCAAGGATGGTCTGGGCCATATTACATAAACCAGGTTGGATTTCGGAAAATGAAATGCCCTATTTTTATACATTGCTAATAATATCAAGCTTGTGACTGCTCTCTGGAAATGTTAGGCATTGGCATAGTGTTGAAGCTCCTAGTTCATTTAGATGAGCACTTTATGGCTTTAGAGGGGTTTAAAGAAAAAGGAATCACTTGATTTATTCTTCCGCAATGGTAAGAAAGAGTTGTTCATATTTTGCAGTACTTTTACATCAATTCCTTTGGTGCATGTCTTTGTTAGGGTTTATATTGTTGCAGTGATACACAGTGACAAATAAGCAAGTTGGAGAGGAGAAGGTTTATTTGGCTTACACTTCCATATTACTGTTTATTGTTGAAAGAAGTCAGGACGGGAACTTAAACAGGGCAGTGTAGTAATATGGGCGGCGGGACTGCGTCCCCAGCACCCCGCCGCCCCCACGGCTAGCTTTACCCGAAATAATTACATGGAAAACTGCATTCTTTTAAACACCGCTTGGCCCATTTCTATCTAGCCTCTTCTAGGCTAATTCTCACATATTAATTTAGCCCATTTCTAATCATCTGTGTAGCGCCCCTAGGTGTGCTTACCGAGAAGATTCTAGCCTATGTCCATCCTGGGTCGGAGATTCATCGCATGCGTCTGCCTGGGAGCTGGAAGCATGGCGTCTCTCTGAGGTGTCTGCTCCCAAGAGGAGAGCTGTCCAGTCTGAGCTCACTTCCTCTTCCTCCCAGCATTCTGTTCTGTTTACTCCACCCACCTATGTTCTAAGCTATGAGCCCAAGCAGTTTGTTTATTACTTAGCCAATGAAATCAACAGATTGATATATGACACTCCCACATCACTTCCCCTTTTTCTGTTTAAACAAAAAAAGGAAGGCTTTAACCTTAACATAGCAAAATTACATATAACAAAACAGTTATCAAGTAAAAATTACAATAATCTTTATCACAACTAAGGAAAACTATAACTATAACGAACTATTCCTAACTCCATCAAAGACTCCAGAAAGATACAATATTACCTAAGCAAACAAGAAAAAAGCAATATTCAAACTCTAGAAATGACAGAGACATCTCGCTGCCTGGACAGTCATCCAAAGTTTCTCTGTACTGTTGGGGCATCCATTTTCGACCTACAGGGCCATGGTATCCAGAGACATTTCCATGAAGCAGAACATTTCAAAGTCAGTTCAGTCACTATCTGTTGTGTCCTGCAGAATGTCTCACAGACTCTTTCATGAATCAGGAACCCCGAAAGATCATCTCACCTTTAGGCAAGTTCAGCAGTCCTCTCTCTGTGAGTTCTCTTTGTCCAGTTTATGCAACAGTCCAGGCAAGAACAGTTTCTTGCCCAAATGGCTATCAAACTCCATAAGGATCCTCTTCGATACCCATCTTCTTCCTGAAGTAGATTGGTGCTGCCAGGAGCAGAGTGTCTCATTGTCATGAAAAATCCTAAGTTATTAAAACATTAAATGCCATATTCTGCAGTTTTAGAAAGATATGAAGAATGTCTATCTAACTGAAATATATCTTTATATATCTAGAAAATCTAACTAACATGACTACAAGCTTGACTATTACTGATGATTATCCATTAACCTATATTTCTTAATTATACATTACATTTTTTTAATGAACTATACAATCACAATAGCTTAATCAATAGCAGAAATATGCATATACATATAACAAAATTGACCTTAAATCTCTATCAATAAAGCAAAATCTATACTAATACAAATTATTCATATCTATATAATATCCCCCTTTAAATGTTAAAGAACGTTTATAAACCATATTTGGGAACATGGGCGCAGTTTTTTCTCTCCAAACTGCTTCCTGCTGAATGGGGGCGCTGTTAATCAGATCATTTAGGGTGTAACCTGTGTGCCAGGTTTATCTCAAGTTGGCAGTTGAGTGAAGTAATTTTTTGAGGGTGTTCACAGAAACTTTTCGGGAGGTCGTGGTCTATCATACAATATCGGGATAGATGCAATCCACAGGGTCTGGTCCTCTGTGAAAACAAAAGAAGACCCTCTCCAAAGCATCATATCCTTAGACCCAAATTTTGAAATCGTAATACCCTTATATCCATTCTGGTTTAGCTTGGCAGCCCATGTAATGAAATGTGTCTCTGTACTTAGCTCCTTCACAGTCAAAAATTTTAAAGAAAACACAATGTACATAATCCAGACTCTCTGTGAATTTTCCATTTTTACATGGCTTATTTTTCTTTATTTCTTTTTATCTCTTAACTATCTGTACTCTGTCTCTTTAAAGACTTTACTTTTTTTTAAAACCCATTAACATTATTCTCTATATTCTTTTTCTTCTCTCTCTCAAGCCTATGTACATTCATCCAACAGTGTGACTCATTTAGTGGTCTGAATCTGTCTATTGTGAATCTGCAATTTTTTACTATCCAGGAGCACTTTTGATTTGTGCCTTTAAATCACTAGGCGCTTAAGAATCTAAGCTGTGACATTCCTAGGTCAAAAACAGGTACTGCCTGCTGGCCCCTCCCAGTCCAACATGGAGGAGCCGCTTGTGCCTCTGATCCTTGCACAATGCACCACCAGCATGGCGGAGCTGCTTGTGCCTCTGAGCTGCAGCAGGCAATGACTTCCTTTAAGGCACACAGCGAGTCTAGTTGCCATCAAACAAATCGTAGCACTTTACTCCAAATGCTCCATTTAAAAGCTCTGTCTCCTGCAGGAGCCAGATAGAGATCGCAATGGCTGCACAGCCCAGAAAGCCGGCATTTTAAAACTGGACCTGTGGATTCTGGCCATGGGAGAAACTGGACCAGATATTGGTGACTGACTCCAAGCATAGACTGCTTTCTGGAGAACCCTACTGCAGTCCTCCAGGCAGACACCAACTAATTGTGCTGTAACTGTGTCTTGAAAAGACCATTTCATCTTTCTATCCAGTCAGCTATTTCAGGTTAGTGAGGCGCAAGGTAAAACCAGTGGATTCCATGAACATGGGCTCAATCTTACACTTTTCTGGCTGTGAAGTATAAAATACCATGGCATTGGATAAGGCATCCTGTAAGTCCAAAGGGGCAGATTTTGGAAGAAGCATTATATGCAAGAAAGGCAACTCTATAACCAGAAAACGTTTCTACTCCAGTAAAGACAAACTGTTGTCCTGAATCATGGATGAAGTGGTTCAGTGTAGTCAACCTGCCACCAGGTTGCTGGTTGGTCACCCTGGGGAATGCTGCCATATATGGAGCTTACTGTTAATCTCTGTGGTTGGCAGATATGGCACTCAGCAGCAGCTTTAGCCAGGTCAGCTTTGGTGAAAGGATGTTGTCCATGTCCATACATGAGCCCATGTATAACCCTCATCTCTGTCACCATGGTCGCTTTGTTCATATGCCCGTTGAACAATGACAGGGATGGCTGGAGAAACAGGCAGATTGTTCACAGGACAGGTCATCCCATCTACTTGGTTATTGAATTCCTCCTCAACTGAAGTCACCTTTGGATGAGTATTTTTACATGGGCCACAAATACCTTTACATCCTTTGCCCATTTGGAGAGATCTACTCACAAACTTCTTTTCCAGATGCCTTTCTCACCAATTTTCTGGTCATGCTCATTCCACGAATCTGACCATCAAGCTAATCTATTGGCTACAGCCCATGAGTGGGTGAACAATTGTACATCTGGCCATTTCTTCTTCCAAACAAACTGTAATGGCATGTGTACTGCCCGAAGTTCTGCCCACTGTGAAGACTTCCCTTTTCTAGAGTCTTTCAGCGTTGTCCCAGAAAGGGTGGAGCCTACATAACATACAGAACCATCAATGAATCAGTCCCTAGTCTCTTCTCAGTCAACCAATCATAGGGAAACACCAGGAGTCCATAGACACATACTTGGTAACATACAGTGTTGTAACAGGAGTATAGACCATAGGAATTTAGGCAACTTCTTCGTGTAACTTGCTTGTGAGACAACCAAGAATTGCCATTACAGTAACTATTGTTATTGTCACTGAAATCAACCTGGTACCTTGGTTAAGGAGCCTGGACTTCACTACAGAAGTTGTAGGCTTGTATTCTGAACTCAAGTCTCTCCAACTGCCAAGTCTTTTCTTACTAATATTTCATCCCCCCTTCCTTCCTAGATAGAACGTACACTGTCAATTTCATTTTCAATTTGCATATCCTTTTCACCAAACACTCTGTTCTTGTCTGAAACATTAAGCGAATGAACAATCTGCACACCTGTGTGTCGGGAAAACTCAGCTTACTGACTTTTTTAGGACACACACAATACATAGGTTCTTTTTTCCTCCACAATAAAGGTTAAATGGGAGACAGAGGAGCTGTGTTCTCCAATGACTACTGTCACCCTGTAGACAATTGGCAGCGGGAGCTCAGCAGCTGCCACACTCTGCAGATATCTCTCTATTTAAAGTTCAAAGAGGCACAGGATAACAATAAGGAAGGAAGCCGCGTGGCCCTGACTAAGCCACCCAACAATAGAAATAATGGCTGCAAAAGGTAAGCTGTAAGGCGAGGGGGTTTCTTGGCAGAAATAGCTTCCCGCCTATTTTACTTTGTTTCTTGGCATTTTGATCCCGAGGAAGGTAGGCTCTCTGCTAAAGAACCAGCGGCTGCAAAAAGCTATTAAATATGCAGTTTTGGGCCCATGTTTGTAAGATGAATAATTTTGAAAGGATCAGTGAAACAGAATAATTTCATACCTGATTTTTTGGGGGGAAAGGTGAATTATAGACTATTTGTTTCTCAGTGCTGAACTGTATTTGAGATCTTGGGATGGGGTTGTTGGATTAGTAGTAGGAGCAGGTGGGTTCTTCTGCAGGATGGCTGTGTGAATTTGGAGGGGTCTTCCCACGTCTTCCAGTCTCTATTATCTGTCAAATGTGAATATTGAGCTTAATCATCTCTGACACGCATCCTATCTGAACTGTTGTTTCTAATTCTTAAACCTTATTTCATATTTATATGGTTCTATAAAATACTTGATTTCAATATGACTAAATAGACAGACTGAATATATATTTTTCTGAGAAGCAGTTTTTTCTCTAATATTTTTTTATTACTTTATAAAAATCACATTCAAAATTTCCACTTCCTCCCCCTCTTCCCACTTCCCTCCTGCTCCCCCACTTACCTTCCCTCCCTTCCCCTCCAGTCCTAAGAGAGGGCAAGGTACCCTGTCCTGTGGGAAGTCCAAGGCTTAGGGAGGTATGCATCCAAATAGAATAGGATCCCAAAAAAGCCAGTACAGGCAGTAGAGACAAATCCCAGTGTCATTATCATTGGCTCTGAGAAGCAGTTTTTAAATACACACATGGCAATCTTTGCTTTCAACCCTGACAGCAATCAACATTGTGAGACATTACATATTATCATCCCTATTTTTCACTTAAGGAAACGGAGCCATGGTCACTAGGATGTGGTGGCCCCAGGCCTTGGGCCTTGGCAGTGTTGCTCCACAGTGAAGTGCCCTTAAGAATTCTTCCAGTTGTAGCCACTTTGGTAAGCTGGGAACTGGCCAAACAGTAAAGCATTTTGAAAAGGCTCTTGTGTTTAAAGAGAAGTTTTATTTTTATTTGTGCCATTGATCTAAGTGATCTAGGAAGAACATTGGGTTTCACATAATACCTTTTCCAAATAATGCGTTAGATGATGGTAGAGCTGAAAATATTGGAGTTAGATGACCGGTTATACTTGGTTAAAATGTCTGGACACTTGTATTGCTTTACAAGGAATAGTAAATAAAGGGATATTTACTCTTAGAGCTAGAAATGCTAATTTTATTAAATCAGGTAGTATAAAATTTTATTAAAGTACACTTGCATTAAACATTTATATTCTGTTGGAATATCTACTGATTTTCAAGTTCTTTGAAGCTGTCGGAAGTACTGTATCACTTACATGAATAATTAAAAAAAATACCGTCACATAGTTTCATTCTATTGGTATCTTAATTCACAAAATATCTTTCTCTCAAAGGAGACTAAAGTATGTCTCATCATCTTGGCTTTACCGTTAAAGCCACAGCACATGTCAGGTAAGGAGGAGGTTCCCCATTCAGTGTATTATGCCTTGTTCAAGGTCACAAACAGGAGAAGCAAGAAAATCCCCTTTTGTCAGATAAGAAAGACTTCAACATTTCATGAAGAACATTGAAACTATTAAAATTCATTTAAGCTTCAGAAAGTTGTCTATTCTGAAAGTATCTTCTAATTTTAGAAGTACCTCATCTCCTGGTATCTTTATTTTAATAGCATTAAGCACCCTTCATATTTGAAGTGATGGAAATTGTAGTGGGACCGCAATTGCTAAGAACATCCATTCTCTCTTAGCTAATGGCGTGTGATCTCATTGTATTCTCCAACTGAGACCATATCTTAGTCCTTAACACAGAGATATTAATTCTATAATATGTTTTTCTGTGCCACTTTTCAGTATTTTGCGTGGGATTTGCATGATAAGTATTACAGAAAATTATGTTTATAAATTGCTTTTCTCCAGATGAGGTATAAGCCGGAAATGAGACATTATACAAGTGTCTTTGATGTGTGCTGGATTATTATTGCCCGTAGTCAAGCTCAGGGCTCGTGGTGATAGTGAATGACTTTAAAGAAATAAATTCCTTTTTTTCCCTGATGATGATTATGTAAGGTCTGATGTTTTCCTTTTCCTGTGAAATTTAAGATGAAAGTCAGTTATTGAGATCAAGAGCAATTCTCAAAACAATTTAATCTTGTATGTTATGAGAAATTCACTTTAGTGGGAATTACTAACAGTTATATTGGATTGCTGTTATGTAAACAGCTGCTAGACCCATTGCCAAACAAACTCCTGAGTAGGTTCTGTATCCAGTCAACACAGGCATAGTGGTTCAACTTTACAAAGCTTTGCACACACCTTATCACTTAACTGAGGAAGCAGCCAGGGGGTAGATATTGCAAGTTCCACGACTTAGCAGGAAAGTTCAAATTCAAAACTGCACAAGGTCAAGGAACTTTAAAAAGGTGACCTGTGGTTTGAACCTGAGACTTCTGCTTCAAATATCCAGCATTTATCATTCAGTGGCGGGGTGTCTTCTGAAGAAAACAGGACAAAAAATACTCAAGTCTGACCCTGACCAGAGTGCGCTTTTTCTTAGCTCCCCCAGAGATCTTTCGTTGTTTTTCTTTATAAAGTTTGATGCCGAGCAGATCTATTTAATCTGTTTTCATTGCTTTTAAGCAGAGTCAACATCGCCACAGCTAATGGTTCCCGTTCTTCTCCTGGTTGGATGGATTGTAGGCTGCATCATCGTGGTTTATATCGTCTTCTCTTAGAAAAGTAAGGGTTGTAGCAATGAAGGTTTTTCTTCATGGCATAATTATTCCAGCACTGATCGTTTCTGTTTTGCTAATGAAATGTTTTGTCATTCAGGCAAGAAGACTTCAGGCTGATACCACATAGAAGAACTAAGAAAAACATGAACATGATTGATCATTAAAGGTGTCTCATATTAAACAGCTGCAGTGTTTCACATCTTCTGGAAGCTAGAATTTGTTTGCCTAAGAATATCTTAGGAACCTGATCCAATTACAGATATAAAATATAAGAAAATTCAGGTGGAGTTTTCTGTGTCAAGAAAGTAGGAAATATATGCTGCACTATGGCTAAAAACACTTGAAGCAGCAGGGTTGAGTATGATAATTTAATTAGATTAAAAATGTTTTGTAGGCTCCTTCCAAAATGAAAAGATGGACTAAAGAACAAAAAATAAACAGAAGACAAAGAACAACTGAAAAACTTGAAGCTTAGCTCTGGTTCATAATGAGAAGTGTAATTTAAACCATACCGAAAGGCCATTGTTTACAGTTGTGTAACAGATAAAAATGTTTGACGTCACTTGTGTTGGTAAGGCTATGGTAGAGGAGCGCTTTCATACACTGTCTTTGAAAATTCCAAAGGGAATATTTATTGTCGTTTGCCTATTGGAGGCCATCTTTTTGTTGTCCAAATTGCATTTAGGATATCCTCCTGCCTCAGGCTCCTGCAGTAGTAGGAAACGCGTACTGTTTTCCCTGCTAGGTATAACATTCTGGGGGTGTATGTGGAAGTTCCAGAAGGCATATGCTTATTTTGAACCAGTTGTTTGTTTTCCAAGAATATGTCACAAAGATAGCACCAAAAATACAAAAGGCGTCAGAATCAACACGTGGTGTTAGAGCAATGCAGCTTTTGAAAGGAATGAGAAAGGTCTTGAAATATTGATGTGATGTAATTTCCATAAAAATATTACCTGAAAAAATTAGTTAGGCTGGAGAGATGGCTCAGCAGTTTATAGCACTTTCTGCTCTTACAGAGGACCCTGGTTCAATTCCCAGCACCCACATGGCAGCTCACAATATCTGTAACTCCAGTCCTGGGTAATCCAACACCCTCTTCTAGCCTGCTAGGGTGCCAGGCAAGCAAATGGTACACAGATGTATATGCAGTCAAAATACTCAACCATGTAAAATAAAATCAAACTAATGAATTATTTAAAAAGGCCAGGTATATCTACTTCCATTTGTATAAGCAAAGGAGGAGTTTAACCAATGTTCAGGTGACTAATTTACCACACACACAGTCAAACGGGGAGGCTAGATATTTTTGCATGTACTTTATTTTATAGTGTTTCATTTTTTTAGGATAATATGAATATTTTATAAGTTAAAAAGAAACATTAATAATCTCCCCAAATTGAAAACAAGCTGAAAGTAACCTAAAAACATCAGTTTGGAAATTGTCTTAGTCAGTGTCATATTGCTTTGAAGAGACATCGTGATCAAGGCAACTCATAACAGAAAGCATTTAATGGGGGCTTGCTTATCTTCTCATCATGACAACGAGCATGGCAGGATGCAGGCAGGCATCGTGATGGACACGTAGCTGGGAGTTCTACATTTGGATCTGCAAGCAGCAAGAAAAGAGAGACACTGGGTCTGACTTTGGGCTTTCGAAAACCTCAAAGCCCACCCCCCAGTGACATATTATTCCTCCAACAAGGGCAGAACTTGTAACTCGTAATCTTTTCAAATAACGCCACTCCCAACTGACCAAACATTCAAAAGTATGACTGTCTTGGGGCCATTCTTATTCAAACCACAGCAGCAATATAATCTAAAAGAGAGAATAAATCTTTCAAGTGATTGAAAACACAATATATGGTTTTTACTATGTATATCTTATGGGTTAGGTAAATTAAAACCACAATCAGCTGGGCGAGGTGCAACCCCTTTAATCTTAGCACTTAGGAAGGAAAGGCAAGCAGATCCCTGTGAGTGTAGACCAGCCAGAGATAAACAGTGAGACCCTGTCTCAAAAAAAAAACAAAACAGAAACAGAGCAGCCACCCCTCACACAAAAAAATGAAAAAGAAAAAAAAAAACCCAACCCAAAACAAAACCTGAGCAAAACAAACAAAAAAATCACACACAGTGAATCTTTTTCAAGTAATGATACTTATATTGTTGGTTTGAAAGCCAGACCATCACTACTAATGCCAAATAAATGTACTTTGTCATACTAAATTTGCATATAAAATCTTCGCACGAATCCACTCTTTGTTTTCCTTCTTCTGTAAAGTAAATGACTACCCTAATTCTGACCTCTGAGAAACTTACTAGTGAAGTTCTCTGTGGCTGAGAGAACTACCTCCTTGAAAGGAGTCAGGGACCCCTGGCCTCGTTTGGCTGGGAAACCCCGAAAGTGACTTGCTTGATGATGTCAGTGTCCACAGATAGTGTAACAGTGCTGACAGTGTTCCAGCAAGGCGTGGGTGAGTCCTGATTGGGTGCAGTGGAAATGCATAAGGACACCCAGGAAGTATTTTTGCCAAAACTTAAGCATACAGAGCTTTGCTCCAACTACAAGTGTTCAGAAGAGAACTGGGAGGAGTGCCAAGTGTGGAGTGTGGAAAACCATGCAGAACACACAAACCTGCTTTTCCAGCAAGTAACCAACACTGTAGCTCTGTGCATCACAGCCAAAGTATGGGATCGGCCTATGTGTGTGTCCACATACAAATGTATCACACACACACACACACACCGCACACACACTGTAGTATATCCAGCCATAGAGGATCTCACTTACGTCATTTGGAGGAAAATACATAGAAACGGAGATTATGTACGTGACAAAAACCGGATTCAGAAAGACAAATATTACACGTTTTCTGTCATGTATGGAATCTACCTGTAGACTAAAGAATAACAGACATAGGACCAATGAAATGGCTCAACAGATAAAGGCACTTCGCTGGCAAGCCTGATTACCCTCTTCGATTATGGGACTCACCTGGTAGAAGGAGAGGACTCTCAACCTGTTCTGACCTTCATTTCATTCCATGACGTGTGCCCACACACATGCAACACACAACACAAAGTAAATATATATTATTCACATATATGAACTATGTATGCATACAACCTTTAAGAATTTGTTTGCTTTTCATTATTTTTTCATACAGTATATTTTGATCACACTTTTCCTTTTTCTCCAACTCCCCCCAGATTCTCCAAACTTCCCTATGTACCCAGCTTTATGTTTTTTCTCTCCCTCTTTCTCCCTTTTTAAACTTTCTTTTTATTTATTCTTTGTGTTGTTCATACCATGTATTGCGATTTCATTCATTTTCCCATCTTTTCCTATCTGCCCTCTTCCCTTTTAACTTCCCTCAAAATAAAATAAAATAAAATAAAATTTAAGAGATAAAAAAGAAAAAAAAGAGGAAAAATAAGTCTCGTCATGGAAACTGAATGTGAAAGTGAGAACCACACAGTTAACACTTTTATCCATATATCTTTACTTGAAAGTGTTCATTGCAAAGAGTCATTTCCAGGCTCCTCTGGTTTTTGCTACACCATCGATGCTGGGCCCTCACTGGGGCTCCTCTTGGATAGATCCTGCAACTTTGGGTCTTCAGGACTGGTCTCTTCACATGCACCCGCAGATCACAGATGGAATGAGCCAACTAATAACCCTTTTGGACCTGGTAGTTGCACGGTTGGTCAGCCTGCCAGCTCTCCCTAATCCTCACTGCCAGGGTGAGCTCTCTATCATTGCCCTGACTAGTTCACTCCTTGCAGTGATGAGCAAGACGTGGGGCTCAGGCTTTCATGAAAGTAAACACAAACAGGTTCCCCCACACCTGCACCTTCAGGGCCAACTCTACTGGGATGCCTAGGCCAGGTGCTGGGGTCACTCTCTAGAGAGCTCTGGAGCACTGTAGCAGGTGAGGGGCAGGAACAGCTCCTCTCTCTCTCTCTCTCTCTCTCTCTCTCTCTCTCTCTCTCTCTCTCTGTCCTCCACCCCCGTTTTGTTTTTTTCAAGACAGGGTTTCTCTGTAGCTTTGGAACCTGTCCCGGAACTAGCTCTTGTAGACCAGGCTGGCCTCAAACTCACAGAGATCCGCTTGCCCATGCATCCTGAGTGTTGGGCTGGGATTAAAGGTGTGGGCCACCACCCCTCCTCATTCTTATGACAACAGGGTCAGTTCTTCCATTCACCTCAGGCATAGAGGGGCAGGAGGGGGGAAGGGGGGGAAGAGGGAAGGGAAACACACACACACACACACACACACACACACACACTCCAAAACATAAAGAACTCTGCCTTTCTCTACGGCTGTGCACCACTGTTCTTACTGGGTTTATTGCCATGACTAATCACAAGCCTTTCAGAATTAAATGATTCCCACCAAGAAACAAAAACAAAATAATTCTATTATCCAATGGATTTGGATAAAAATTGTAACAAATTCAGGCATAATTCCAAAAGAAAATACTGGAGGAGAACGTAAGATTCTTCATCAGTAGTCTGTAGGATTCACATACTGTGACCAGACTAAGGGCTTATGCCGAATCACTGTCACCAGTCCTACCAGATGGAGCTCAACATTTTTAACCTCTGGAAACTTGGTCATGTTTATATTGGGAGACTGATTTGTTATCTGTTTCACATATGTTAATTGTTCAGTGATAAAATGTATAGTATGTTAAAAAAAAGAAAGACACGAGAGTAGACAAGAACTATTGAGTAGAGGAAGCAACAGTTGGAGGGAGGATGCAGGCAAGAGGAGGTAACAGGAAACTGGATACAAGCAAGTACATCATATACGTCTATGAATATGTCTTCATGAAGCACATTATTTTCAACAATAATATGCACTAATAAATAATTTTTCCAGAAGCAAAAAGCAAGAAAGCCCAGATTATCACCACCCCAGAAAGAAAAAAGAAAAAAAAAAACAGAAAGAAGGAAAGAAGGAAAAAAGGGAGAAGAAAGGAGAGGGGGAAGAGAAAATGATTCAAGAATATAAGGCTATCAGGTGAAGATGGACCAAATCCACAAACACATTTTGTATTTCTGTGATAAAGACATTGGGTAATTATTAGTAATTTTGTTCACTGTAATAACAATTGGCAGCAGGAAAGAAATCTGGTAGAGACTTGCGTGAACAAAGTGCTGGGGGAGGTGGTAAGTATTACCTGAATTTATGCCCACAGAAAATTAACTAAAGAATAAATTGGAGCATGCATGTAAGACAGGCAAACTGCCGATATTTGTTAAAGCCAAGTAATGTGTTTCTCAAGATTTATTATGTACTTTGATCTAATCTTTGTGTAGAACATTTTTTGTGCTTGTTTCTTTTTTTTACTTCTTATTGTCACTGTTATGAGCTATGATTTATGTAAATAATAAATTAGAA